GCATTTCAGCATGTAACCACTTGTAAAGGGAAAGATACAGACAGTGGTTGACCAAGTTTTGAAATGTATGATCTATCTTCTAATAGTGTTTTATTCCCTCTTTTCCTCCCTTCTTGCCACTCCCCCACCAGCCCTTCTGATTTATGTTGTATTTCTTTACTGCAAGGATCTCTTTTCCACTTGAAAATCCTGGTGCATTTTAGATGTCCAATATATGATTTCAAATTTAAGAAAATAAGAACTTCCCAGAGGTCTGAACATTTGAAATTATTTACAAACAAATGAAAGTGCGTTAGGGTAATCCTCCCAAGGGCTGGTAGGGTTTCTGTGTGTTCACAGTAGGCGTGATGCACTAATAGTACTTAGAAATAAGGATCAGTTAAATTTATATTCAGAATACAGTTTAACTGCAGATTTCCTCCTTGACTATGGGCAAGGCATTTAACTTCATTGTGGGCAGGTTTTCCATCTGTGGTAGAGGAAACAACACTACTCTTCAGGTTTTTTCTGCAAACTGTGTAAGTACTCACAGTCATCCTTGCATTGCTCTTAAGGTGCAGAGTATATGAATAATATTACTGTACATTAGAAGTTGGTAACCAAGTTTCATTTCTATGAATTTTTTTAACAAAATACTTTAAATGAGATTGTTTGCTTTATTGTTACACAAGTATACCAAGAAGGCAAATTAAAAAGGCAAGTAAGTCTAACATCAGATTTGCCTTCTTGGGAATCAAACCAAGATTTTGCATCCCGCAGTATTTCTGCAGAGCACTTTGGTAATATTGAAATCCTGCTGCAAAAAAACGGTGTGTGTACAGTTTATTTCTGTAACACACACTGGATATTCAGTTGAAGTAGAGATGACTAATGTAGATTTGTATGCAGTTTTATGCAAATCCTGGGAAATACTGAATAAGCAGTATTAATTGTTTTTCTCCTTTCTTTTTTTAGGATTTGTGAGTGATTTTCATTGTGCTGTACCACAGTGAAGAGGTATTTTTCACTTCAAGATACCTTGCATTAAAAATCATGGTAGACAGTTTAATAGTTTCTTTGAGGTAAGTGATGCAATAAAACATTTAAAATCTTATTTAATATGCTCTTAACACACTGCAGTAAATTTCAATTTGGTGGTCTCTTGCTCTGCTGTTAAAAGTGTCTGTATCGTAGGAGGGTAAATAGAAATCTGGTCCCAAGACCAAATACTCAAGTATATGCATACCACACATAGCATTCTTTGGTGATAGTGAAAAAAGAAAGTTCTCAGTGTTTGTTCATGCTTAGAGCATCTGTTAGTGTGTGCCAGTGTGATGGTCTATATTACTGGAAGTTCCTGTGTTTTTTGATGAGGCTGTACAATTACAGTCACTGGGCTTAAATTGCTGATTTACATGTTTTAGTACCTGTGCTGCAATTCATTCACGGATTTGTCTTATGCATTCCTGAAACAGTTTGCCAGTGGGCAAACATAGGAAAGACCTTTCAAACAGCTTTTCTAACAAAGGAAACATTCAGCTGTTTCTAAGCTGGTCTGGCCGGTTCTGTCCTGTCCTTGGGCGAGCAGATTCAGAGCAGACAGGCAGCCCTGGTGCCACACAGACACAGGCTGACCTCCTGCAAGAAGACAGCTGAGTGCTCTGTCTTTGGGATGGAGTCACTGTGACACCTCTGCTCCAATCTTGCTTCTCCTGAGTTTGAGACATCAGTATTTGAACTGCAATTTTGGCACCTTCCTAATATGCCAGGGCAGATTTTCAATCAAAATGGATCTGTCACACATTACTGGCACTACCAGCGTTATCTTTCCCCTTGAAAGATGACCTGCATAGCTCCTCCCAAGCTGTCCCAGACTTGGGCTGTTCAGTAGATTTGGGAGGAAGTTGGGAATTTTAGACAAGAGCCATACTGCACTAGTCAGTACTGATCACCTTATCTGGACAATCCACAATTGGCCATAATATTCCTCCATAAAATGTAGCTACTAAGGGATAGCAACATGTGAGAGATCTGCTTTGGTACCCTCTAGCTTCATTCATGCAGAGCTAACACTCACTGCACTGACTAGGAAGAACTCTGAGAGGTGTTCTAAATGAGGTGCTAAATTGCAATTATTTTCATGCTACTCCTACAATAGACCTAATATTGCTTTGCTTTGTGCTGGTGCCTCCAAACCTTTCCCAGCTGTTTTTATATATGCTTATATTTAAGTTTCTATTTTATGTTTTTATATTACTGGCAATTGGTGTTGCCAGTAAAAGAAAGTGAGAGAGTTTAAAGTCTGACTTTGCTTCACTGGGTGCTTGGCTCCAAACAGTGCCTTAACTATGAGAGCAGGGGATGTACCAGCAAGGTTCCTAGAGGCCTGATTTATACAGCCATCAACCAGCTGCAGCTGGTACCTCACCTGTTCAGGTATATTTGAAAAGTTTGGCCTTATTTTGAGAAGCCCTTGTTCTTTTTGACTTTTCTGCATTGTGAGGATACCTGAACCAAACACACTGAAATTGGAGAAGCCTATTTTTGTAGCTTGGGAAGCTTAAAGTTAGTCACGCATGACAAATAAAAAAGCCTGGTCCAGAGAACTTAGCCAAAGCAAGCTGCTGAGGGAAATAACATTAAAAAAATTAAATTGCCACACACTGATTTGAAGCTAGGGGCTTACCTCAGGATAGCTTAAGTATTCCTGGCAAATTTCCTGTGTGTTTGAAATAGTTGCTTGATACCATTGTTTCTGACTGATCAAATTGCAGATACAAAAGCACATTGAAAATCTATCTTTATTGTCCTTGAGCCACATACATACAGATGGTGATTGCAGTGCAACCTCCTTAAAGAATGGTCAGGAAAAGCCTGGCACAGAGTAACCATACATATACTAAAAGTTTACTGTTTAGAACTGAAAACTTTAATCTGGTAAGTAATTTGCTTTGAAGATTACAGTTCTCATTCAGCTCACAACTCACAACCTTGTGTATGATTTCAGAAGAATTTACACATGGAAATCTGTAGACTGTCAGACTGATCAGAAAAATCCTGTCCTGATGAGGATAAAATCATTAATTTCCTTATGGAAAGTCTGAACTTTTTTTTACATGCTCTGAGGGATTATAGGGAACAGAAGCCATAAGGGAACAGGGGTGGGTAGGAAGGCTCTGAAATGGAAGTTAAATATAATTTGCAGAGGATGTAGGCTGGGCCTATCAGATACTGCATTCCACCTACTTAGATGCTTGTCATTTTTCATTGAGAAGAGCTGGGAGATCACTTAAACACTTAGAAAAGAGATAGGCAGGTGAGCTGAAGACGGACTTGATGCTTTGATTTTGCAGTTTGGAGGTCTGATTTCTATTTCTGCCTTTGATTTCAGAAGTGATTTGCAAATCAGGTTATTCATTTGTGCCTTTGGCTTCCATGTACCACTTTGTGATTGGTTCCTGCTCTGAACTGCGTGTTTTGACTCCTGCTGTGACTTCTTTGTAGTCTTACACTGGCTCTGATTTCAGCCACCTCCTCTGTATTTTGTTTTATCACCAATGAACGCTTTGTGAAATATCAGACTTCCTTCTAACACAATTTTTAAAGGGCTTCTTTTTTTTTTTTTTACCCTAAAATGATGTGGCAGTAAAGAAGTAATGACTTTTTCTAGCCTTTCACTGGTTTATTGCTTTGATAGAGAGGGGCATAGACGGTGAGGTGATCATAGGCCATGTGCAATCAGTACTTACCTAATAGTTTCTTTTGCAGTATATTAACAAGAACAAACACAGACTACACAAGATAAACATTCCCCCTAGCAGAAGAATATTTGTATTGGTGGCAATTAAATGCTTACTATTAAAAAAAAAACCTTTCTCTTTAGGAGGTCTGTCTCAAAAAATACCTGAAATAATAAAAATTTTTTAAAGGGTCACTGGGTAGGGAGCAAAGGAAGGAATAGGAAATGCAGCTGTGAATAGGAAATGCAGCTGGATTTTGTCTGGTCTGTTAGTTTGCAGATGTATTTTATATCCAAATCCATCAGTTTTACTTCTGCATTGAAATTCAGCAAACCATTAACAGCTTTCCCCCTTATACATACTCTTTGTAGACTGAAAAATCAAACTCCTGGTACAAATAAAGATACCTTGATCTTATTTGCCATACCTGTCCATGTCTTCTGGTGAAGGGGCTTGTTAGAAGGAGACAAACCAGTCTCTGTTGCAAATTATAGTAAAAAAATGACTGAGCTAACTGTGCCTAAGTTGTAACAGGCTCCTAGGAGTCACTAAAGGGGTGAGGCTTGACAGAACAGTTTGTTTGGGCTTGGTTCCCATTATGACTCCTTTCACACTGAAGATGTGGGGACTGGGGCAATGCTTGGCTGCTTATCCTGAGTCTCTGGTGGGCTGTGTTTGCTGCTTTCCATCTTCTGTGCCCATTAGGTTATTCAATTTTCACAAGTGTTAGGCAGCTGGGGAAGCACCTATTTTCTGTTCCCTGTGTGCTGAAGGTGGAGTGTTCATCTGTAAAATGAGGAGGCAGAGGTAGAAGCAGATGTGGTCCACAGAATGTGGACCACAGAATGTGGGTGAATTCTTACTTAGCACTTTAGAAAACTTGCAAAGCATATGCCAGTTTCACACCAAATGCTGAGGAGTTAAAATGTGCACTGCCAGGAATTTTTAAATTTAAACATGAAGTTATATGAAATACCATCAATGGATTCAATTTGGTTCACTTTTGCTTTATAGCTGGACAAATCTATGTATGAACCTGGTTCATACGTTCAGGTATGAGCCTGCTGTGAACAGAATTTCATAAGAACATTTCATACACTTTAGTACATCTGCTTTGGTTAGCAATGGTATTCATGTGTTTACATATCTTCTTGCAGTGTGAAGCCCTGTAAGATGTTGTAGATGTGTGGTTTGTATTAGTGGTAATTACCTGTTCTGTTTCACTCTTTGACTTTTCAGACTTCTCAGTTCCCTAGCAGTGCTGGGATTTCAGCTTGTCATCCCACAGCCTTCAATTGAACACAGAAAGGTAAGCATTAGAAACATTCAGACTTTGTGTACTGAAAGGTAAATGTGAAAGGATTAGAGGAAGATGTGTAAAGCAATGCAATCTGAATAAATTTCTGGGAATGGCTTCTGTTTGTGCATATGAGGCTTTTTTGGTTTCTTTTTTTTTTTTTTAATGAATATATGTGTGGTTGAAAGAGGCTCATCATGGTTACTTAGCTGAGTAATTGTATAGAGTATTATAGGTCATAAATAGTTACTAAGGCTTTGGAGCATTTTCATCATGCAAGACATGGAAAAAAGAGTTCCTGTGGGTGAGAGCAGACATGGAGTGAGTGGAGAACCACCCAGTTGCTCACAGGCAGCTCTTTCTCTTGCAGAGATAGAAGTGTCTGAAACAGAAGCTGGACCCAAACCACTCTGTTGTTATTCAAATTGCTAGAGATTGGAGCTGGAAACTGCTGGAATTTCCTGTTGTGCTTTTGTGGATGGTTCACTCATCCTAGACATTGGCATCTCTAAGCAGGCTTGCAGCCTGCACACTTTTCACCATGCTCAGCATTTGGGAGATCTTGGCTGGAATCCTTGGGTTTTGCACTGCTTTTCAGGAAAGTAGTGGACAATTTGTAGAGAAACAGAAAGCAGCAGGGATTATCCTTAAGAGATTTTAAAATCTTACCTCTGATGCAAATTTGAACAAATTCATATTGTTTATTCTAAAAATTGGAAGACTGGTGCTGGAGGAAGATATAACCTTCAAATACTTTTGAATACTAAAATGAAGGTTGTTTTTTTCTGTTTGGAGTAGATGAGAAGAAACAGATTTAGACTGAGGCAAAGGAAACTTAGGTTTGACATTATAAAACACTTGCTATGGTAATGATATAAAGAAGATTATATTGATTCAATAATATTTAGAATTTCCATGATGTAGGTCTCTGTGAGTGTGTTGGACAAATGTTTATTTGGAACAATGTGCAGGTGTTGCTAATTCTGCCACAGATGTGAGGCAAGACCCCTTGAATGCTGTTCTGTCTCTTCACACTCTCATCACATTCACTTCATATCAATGTTGTTCTCATATCTTAATACCACTTGGTATCTCATATCTATTGGTATTCAAACACAACCAATTAATTACTGAAGGTATCAAATAACCTGTTTAAAAACAAGTTTGCTTTTTACTATAGGCTTTAATATAATAATCCAGGATGTGTATTTTTTTGAAAACTATACTGGTAGAATGACATAAAAGACAAGTTTGCAGGGTTTGATTTTTTTTTTTTTTTGTGCATGTGCCACTGTCTTTAGGGTAAAAAGTGATTTGGACAATAGCCTCACAGGTATGGACTAGAAACCTGAAGCTGTCTGATTGTCAGAGTTCCAGAAGAAGACAAAAGTCCTGTTAACTCCTTGTGCAGCCTATTTGTAAGACAAGTTAAATAAGGTCAGCAGTGATGGGGTCTGAAACTGGCACAGTCCAGTCTGCAGCGAGCTGTCCAAGGGCTCTATTCTAAACTGCAGGGCAATTTAGTATTTTTGCCTATCTTTCATCTCTTCTCTTTTGTTGTGCAGTTGAGATGGTCAGGCTGCTGCTCTGGTTTCAGTATTCTGTCTGATTAGACATTCTTTTGTAACACTGACAGTGGAGAGATGCTTCAGTCCAGCTTCCAAATGGCCTTAGGGGGAATAAATCTACTAACTAAAATAGAGTAACTCAGAGAAACAATTGCTTCATTCTGGGAAGCCCCGGAATTAATTTAGATAAAATCAGATTCTTTGTTTTCAATTGAATGAGAAATGCCACGGGTCTGGAGTGTGTTCTATACTAGTTAAAGGGACTTAAGGGCATGGTAACCACCTTGGAGACATCCCTTTTACTGAGGACAAGGCACAAGTTTCCTAGTGACAATCTCACAGGGCCCCAAGGCTGGCTGTCATTCTCAGCTCTTACCCTAAGGGAGAGGATTCTATTCATGCCAAACTGTGTTTAGACTGGAACTCTGTATTTATTACACTTTTCACAAACCTTCTGCCCTACCTATAAGCTCCATGCAACAGGGGCTGTTAGTAACTCTGAAGACCAAGTCAGATGTGTTTCTGAGTGTGAGTTCTCAGCTTTGTAGCTCTGGAAGCTCTATCTATTCTTTTCCTACAGTAACCCCACCATATATTTGCTGACACCTGTGTATTTCTGGGTGGATATCTCTGCTGTTTGGCAGGGTTCTTTCTATCTGAGAGGAGCTCAGTTGTACAGAAAGAAAGAAAGGGAGAGGAGGAGGATGAGGGATCTGATGAACAATTTTAACAAAACACTCAATAATGAAAGTGGTGTTTGCTAACTTTCATATACACACTCATAGGGTACAGTATGGGGAATCAAATAACTAGAGCTGAAGTCTAATGAAACATTAGACCATACCCCAATTCTTATTGTGTGTTTATTTTGCATTAAGCTAAGCATGATTTAGCAGGTTGGTTCCTCAGATGCACACACAAAAATCTGTTTCTGGCATAACGGCATGAGACTGATAGCTAGAAGAATGAGCCAAATTACTTCCATAGCAGGAAGTGCACATATTGGAATTAAGACTTGGGGAAATGACAAAAGCAGAGGCTGGGAAGGGAGGGCTGTGTTCTTCCTTGCAGTCTAGGCAGGGTGAAGCTCTGCCCCATGGTCAGCAGTGACTCAAGTGTGTAACTTGTCAGGATTTGCTGAGCTGGAACTCAGCTCCTGCTAACAGAACCACAGCAAAGTCACTGGGGTCTGCCTGGCTGGGCTGTGGAACTGAGCTGGGTTGCACTGGAGAGGCTCAGTCACCGTGGGTTTGCACAGCTGCTGTTCCTTTGCAGCAAATGGTTACAGGTGTCACCCCTTCTTTTCTGGCAATGTTTTTGTTTATAGGATAACTGCTGTCCGTTACGATTGTATTTTCATCCACATCACTTATATGAAACACTTCCAGCTGCAAGGGAGTCCGTATTTCTCTTGCAGTTTTTCACTGGTCAGTTTATCTGCTTGTCTTCAGCACAGATGCTTGACTTTAACTGTGCAGATATACATCTGCTCCTTTCATAACCCTTGTTATGAAAGTCTTTCTAGCTAATGATGCTGCTATTCTAATTGCAGTAATCCTTAGGAAACAGGAGATGTGATTTAGGCCATGTGAAGACTTTCCCTTTAAAATTAGCCTTTTAGTACAACAGAATATTTAGAACAACAGCTGAAAGAATTTTCTTACTATCTCTGTGTTGTTACTAATTCCCTGTCCTTGATGGTGGGGATTAAAGTGGTTAGGAAATAAAATTCATCTTTGTCTGGGGAAAGGAGACAGGATAAGGATACATTATTTTATGGGAATATACTCTGAAAAATCAAGGCCAGTGTTTTTGTTGCTTTTAATCTGCTTTATCATGGACCTCTCAACTTTTATTTTTATCTTTAAATTAAAAAATACTGACTTCTTTATGCTTAGAGCAGGACTGTGTTTTTCTGGAAGAAAATATTAAAATATCACAGTTCAAGTTGGATTCCAGTGCAGGTGAGCTTTCAAAGTCATAGATAAGTTTTTCATCTTCTTTCAGAGCAGTTCTGCATGCTAGTTCTGTCCAAGCTTTGGATAAGAGTGGGGATAAAGACTAGGAGCTTTTTGGATTCACAGATGAGTTCTTCTGTTAGGGAACGTTGCTTTCTGTTTTATGACAGCTTGTCCTCTCTGCTTCTGGGGTGATCAATTGGTGCATGACTCACCGAGAGGTCTGGGGAGCTGTTACAGCACTTACAGAATAAATAAAATGTGTATTTCTACCACATGTGGATCCCAAAGAATTTTTCTAAGCATAGAAATAAATAGAATGGCAACAAATTTGTCGCAGTTGTAGATGGCTGACCTTGATGGAGGAGGCCAAGGGTAATATAAGCTTAGTGACCTAGGCCACAAATGGTAGTGAATGGTGAGGAAATACTTCTAAGAATAAAGAAGCCTAATTTGTGATATAATGAGGGCCTGATTGTTATTGTCTTTACCTTACTGTAAATGAGAAGCAATCCTACCACGGATAAGGAATGGTTGTATAGAAGTGGTAGAAGTGAGGTCAGGACTGAGCTGTCTGTTACTTGAAAGCACTTAATGGTCTCACAGAAGAGTGGAAAGGAACCTCTTCCTTAAAACACTAATCTCCCAGAGTGCAATGGAGGTGGTCTTGGTGTGAAAAATTAGCCACACTTGGAGGAAGCTTCAAACTTTGTTGGCACAAAAACTGTTCTGAACCTTTTTCAGAGCTGTTTACTTTCTAGACTATTCAAATAATGTTAAGGTTTCTTCAGATGTGGTCAGAGTTGGTTGAAGGGGCAGTTAAGCTGTCCAGGCATTGTAACTCCCTTCAGTGATTTGTGAATACAAAGGTCTTCTATTTCCAGGCTTTTTAGCCCTTTAATCTTCACAGGCACAGATGTTCAGACAGAGATTTTATACAAAGAACTGAAAGCCAAATCGTTTAAGCTGGTAATATTTACACTTACCACGTACTGTAAAATTCAATGGTTTACTACTCCTCTGATTAAAGGCTTCCAAAATGCACTGAAGGATTAAAATAGCTGAGCACACGAACTAGGCAGACGTGTACACATTGTGTCATGATGTTTTGTTTGGCCTCTGCTCCATTTTTCTGCTAGCCTTGAGAGAAGTTATCTGCAAGTGTTTTTTTTTTTGGCATGGGGAGGGCTTGGTAAATTGTTTTTTATCAAGCCACCAATGTCCCACATGTTTCTTATAAGAGGGATAAGAAATACAGTTGTTGGAAATGAACATATATATAATGGATTGTAAAGCCTTGCTGGTGGGAAATTGTCATAGCTATATCAGTATGGACTTTATTGGAAATCAGCTGAGCTAATGCTGGAAGAATATTCCCTTAAAATGCTTAGATTGGTGACAGAATTAAAGGACTTTCATAGATCTGTTTACAACACTGGCAGGGAAACATAATAATGTTATACTTGAACAGGTTCTAAAACTAAAC